GGGGCCGCGTGCCCTGCGGGCGGGCAGGGCCGTCAGTCTGGGGCCCCAGCACCGAGCCCCGTCCGCCCCGGCGATGGTGGGCGTGCTGGAGAGGGGCCCGGCGCCGGGGGTCCGACTAGGCTGGATCTGACCGCCCGGCCCGTTTCCCTAGGACTGGGGACACTCTCAACTGACTTGTTCCACGTCCCCATTCCCATCCCCGGAGCGAAAAGGGCGCAAGATTTAAGCGGCGAGGATAAAGGCGCAGGTGCCAGGAATTTTAAGGGCAAAAGCCTGTATTTCGGGGGCGTTCCTAGCTACCGGGGAAGGGGGCGGGCACTGCTGCCCCCAGCATCCACCTGACCCGGCCGGCCGGGAGCAGGAAAGCCCCTCCACCCCTCCCTGGTGGTCACCTGCACGCACCTGAGGGCGCATCGGCGCCGCCCTGCGGTCTCCGGGGGCTGCCGCCTGCACCTGCGATAAAAGGGCGGGTCAAGACCAGAGAGAAAGTGAGCCCACCCCACCCCCGCTACCCGCCACTCACCTTGGCTCTTCTTCCAGACCGCGGGGCTGGAGGCGGGCGGGCCGGGTGCGGCGGCCAGGAAGGGCCGCAGGCGTGGGGGGCTCAAGCCAAAGGGCGTGGGGTTCAAGTAGGGCAGGAAGGGCCCAGTGGGGGTCGGGGCGGGGGTTGTGAAGGGTTCGAGTAAGGGGAACTGCAGGCCCGGTGCCGACGCAGAGTCGGCCTCCGGGGGGCGCTCGGGCGCCGGCGGCTCCTTGTCGAGGGCAGGGGGCGGTGGCGGGGCTGGGCTCTGCGCATGCTCGGCGCAAACATGCAGATGCTTGAAGAGCGAGCGGTGAGTGCGGAAGCGTAGGAGGCAGTTCTCACACCTGGGGGCGGGGCACACAGCGGGGCAGGGTCTCTGGGTGACGAGGCGGGGCCTCTCCTATGCCACGTGGGGCCCCACCCCAGGAGCATGGGGAAGAAGCCTGGGCCCCATTCCCAGGTGGCAGATCCCCCACCTGCGGGACGGGGAGGGCCATAGGAGCTTGCCCTAAGCGCCCCCCAACTTGGCTGCGACCATTCCAGACCCCTCCGGGTAGGAGCCCTGGGAAAACGAGGAAGGAAGTTTCAACCCTGACTTCGAGGGGCAGGGCTCCCTTCCGGGAGGTGAAGGTGGGCCCTCCAGCAGGATCTTCTGGTCAGGTAAGGGCGGGGCTTGCCCGAAGCCACACCCACCTACAGACCCACCCGCCCCTGCGGAGAAAGGCTGGGACCCGAAGTAGTGGCTGTCAAACCAGGCGTGGGTGGAGCTGCCCAGGGCCTGGTCCCCACACACAGGGTGCGACATTAGGGTCGGGGTCTCACTTGAAATAGCGGTTGGGCTTGTAGTGCAGCTTGCTGTGCACCATCAGCTCCTGCATGCTGGGGAAGGTCTCCGTGCAGCTCAGCGCCGAGCAGCGGAAGAGCTTGCCTGGATGGCGGGCAGAGGAGAGGATGGGTCCAGGGCCGGTGGAGGCGGGCGCTGCTGCCTCCCACCCTCATCTGCCTCCCCATCCCCTGCCCCGGTATTACCTTCCAAGGACTGTGTAGGTGGGCAGTGGGTACGAAGATGCTGTGCTAAGTCCCGCACGCTGGGGAAACTGAGGAAGCAGCCGGGACTGGAGCAGGGGACCTGCTTCCCTGCAGGACACACGGAGCGGGGGTCGCTGGTCCCTTCCCCACCGATGCAGCTCCCCACCCCCAGGATTCCACCCCAGCGAAGCACAGACAAGGCTGGAATTACCCTCTGCCTCCACCACCCGACTGAGCTGCCACAGGGCAGGGACTGAGGTGGCCTGGCTCATCACTGCAGCCCCAGACTGCATACAGCTGGTGCCTGGTAAATGGTGGCTGACATCCCTCTAGATGGGCTCTGAGTTGGGAGATGCCCTGTACTCCTCACTCCTACTGTTCCAGGGTCTGTGAACCCCTCCCCCAAGGTCCTGTCACAGGTCACCTGGTAGCAGGCGTCGTCTGGGAGGCCGCAGGTCCTCACTGGTCCCGGAGACGCTGCCAGGGCTGGGTCCAGGGATGGGCTGGCTGCTATCTGAGGCTGAAGGGCCACCCTGCTGGGGCCCCCCAGCCCCCCCAAGTCCCCACACTGGGGGTGTGGCTGACCGGTCAGGGCCTGGCTCCTCCGCCATGGAGGAGGCGGCCGCGGTGGCCATAACTGGGGACAACACCTCCTTGTCCGTCTCGCTGGAGCGAGGCTCCGCAGAGGTGGGCATGTCCAGGATGAGCCCCACGTGTTCCTCCTCCTGGTGAAAGGAAAAAGGCGAGCAGAACCCCTCAGGGTCAGCCTGGACCAGCTAGGGGCCTTTCTCACCTTGCCAAGACCACTTTGCTCAACATTCCAGAAGCAGCTAATGCCCCTATCATCCAGTGGGCCCCCATCCTAAGAAGCCGCCACCAAGAGAGGGCAGGGGGTAAGGGTGGACTGAGCCTCCTAAATCCCCATCCCCCGGTCACGCCCCCGACAGTGAGCTGAGAGGTGTCCCAAATGCAGAAGAAAGGGTATTACCCATAGGAGAGAAGCATACCTCCCAATCCCAACTTGGGCAGGTGGGCGGCCCCATACTCGGCAGGGGCGTGGCCTCTAGGTAGTGGGCCGGATAAAGGCTACAAAGGCGGGGCTCTAGGCTGGGCGTGCTTAGTATGATGCTGGAGGGGCCCGTGTGGCCAAGAAGACTGAGGAAGGCGCTACACCGGTTCGACTCGGACTGTGTACATTTATGTGGAGGTGCTAGGGGCCCAAATGTGTCAAGATTAGGGGCGGGGACCAGTCGAAGCCAGGCCCGGAAGTAGGCGTAGAGCGCTCGCCGACTGACAGCCAGCGGCGGCAGGGTGGCCGGATGTGGGGGCGGGGCCACCCAGAAGGTGTGTGTGCGCCCACGTGGGGGCCACTTCCCGCCCGTCTCTGCCGCGCCCACGTCCCTGGCGCCGCGCTCACCATCCTTGTTCCGGCTCGACCTCTTGCTCCTGTGGCGAAGGCGGCTCCGGCTGAGGCGGCGGCGACTCCCTCGACTGCACGGGCGCACGCTCACGTCGGCGCCATCTTTCGCCTACCAGCTCTCGCGAGAGTGGGGGGGGGCGGGGCCGGAGGACAGGGGCGGGGTCTGTTAGGCGGTCCGCGACAGGGCGGGGCCGGAGACCTGGGTGGTGCTGAACCGCAGTGTGGAAGCTGGTGCGGCCTTGCAGTTTTGGGGCACGTTTTCAAGAGTCCATGCGCAGAGCGCCAGACCTCAGTGTCCTGTCTGCAAAATGGGCAGCTTCATCCCTTCCCGTCACCAGCCCTGGAAAGGCGATAAGCAGCGGCTTCCTGTAGCGGTTATATTGGTTGGGGCCGCCTCTTTGGAGGGAAATTGGCAACAGTCGTCAAAATTTTTAATGCACCTAATTCTGAAGCTGGAATGGGTCCATTCAAAAAGCCAAGGGCGGAAAACAAGCTAAATGTTCATCCTCCGCTGAATAAACGGGTGTAGCCTCAGGGTTGAGAGATGTGCTTTTGAGGGTGAGGGATGCGGAGTCCCTGTGTATACAGGTGTGGAATGAATCACTCATCCAAATTCTCTTTCTTGAGCGCCTACGGTGTGCTAGGCACTGTTCTAGGCGTTGGGGACCCAGGGGTGAACAGAAGAGACAACATTACTTGCCCTGGGGAACGCTCGCATTTAAAAATGGAAAATAGTTGTTAAAGAAGCAGTGAAGAAAATAAACAAATGCAAACGATTTTAGGAAGAAAAAATCAGAAGGACGCAATAGTGATGTTCAGGGACGCCTCTCTCGAAGGTGACAGCTGAGCTGTCCCTGATGGTCTGGCATGAACCAATGGGAGGTCAGGATAGCAAAGCCTTCCAGGAAGAGCAGATAGCTGGTGCAAAGTCCTGGGGTGCAGAGACACAAGTTTGTCTTTTTCAAGGACCGGCAAGGAGACCAGTGCACATTGTGGACCAGAGTGGAGGGGTGGGGATCAGAAAGGGACTAGGAGGAAGGGCTGATTATGCAGTGCCTATGGGCCATGGAGAGTGGAGTGTGGTTTCTATTTTAACCCTTGATGTGTTTTTAGCAGGGGGAGGCACACCATCTGATCATGCACACTGGCTGTCATTTGGAGGATGGGTGACAGTAAAGTAGTTTTTGGATCTCAGATCTCTGTAATACACTATCCAACCATTCAAGGGGTGTTCATTGAGATCTAGGCAAGCACAAGGTCCCTGGATCACACAAACGGTTTGCACTGGACTATTGACCTAAAGCTTGGCAGTTTGAACCCACCCAGTGGCACTGCAGAAGAAGGGCCTGGCAATTTGCTTCTGTAAATATTACAGCCAAGAAAGTCCTATGGAGCACAATTCTACTCTGACACACATAGGGTTGCCAGGAATCGGGATCGACTAGACAGCAACAGGTAGGCAAGCATAGACTTCATGGATACTGTATTTCTACCTGTGTAAAACGAGATGGATGTACGTATGTGTATGTATGTACATGCTTTTGTATGCAGATAACATCGTTATAGAAGGAGACACAAGAAACTCGGGAGGAACACAGGAATTTTCAAGTGCGAAAAAGACTTTTCATACTTTTGGGCTGTTGGAATTAAAAAATTTTTTTCGATTACCATTTGAGTCCCTGGGTGGCGCAAATGATTATGCACTGGGCTACTAACCTAAAGGTTGGTAGTTCAAACCCATCCAGAGGTGCCTCAGAAGGCCTGGCAATCTGCTTCTGAAAGGTCACAGCCTTGGAAACCCTATGAAAGGCAGTTCTACTCTGACACACATGGGGTTGCCATGAACCAAATTAGCAACTGGACGCATGGTGCAACTAATGAGAACATCATCAGCTAATGCAACACCACCATCATTTCTTCAGTTAAAAACTCGTTATTCACAACATGATGAATTTCATCAACGCTGCTGAATTGTACATGTGAAAAATGTTGATGTGGCAAATGTTTTGTTTTACGTATTTTTTCACCACAATTAAATTTTAAAAGAGCAATACCTGTCTTCGTCATCTAGTGCTGCTATAACAGAAATACCACAAGTGGATGGTTTTAACAAAGAGAAGTTTATTTCCTCACAGTAAAGTAGGCTACAAGTCCAAATTCAGGGTGTCAGCTCCAGGGGAAGGCTTTCTCTCTCTGTCGGCCTTCTCATCAGTGTTCCCCCAGGCTAGGAGCTTCTCTGCACAGGGACCTCGGGTTCAAAGAACGCGCTCTGCTCCCTGCTCCCGGCACTGCTTTCTTCGTGGTATGAAGTCCCCAGCTCTCAGCTTGCTTCCCTTTTATCTCTTGAGAGATAAAAGGTGGTGCAGGCCACACCCCAGGGAAACTCCCTTTACACAGGATCAGGGATGTGACCTTAGTAAGGGTGTTACAATTCCACCCTAACCCTCTTTAACATAAAATTACAATCACAAAATGGAGGACAGCCACACAAAACTGGGAATCATGGCCTAGCCAAATTGATACATTTCTGGGGGGGACATAATTCAATCCATGACAATACCAAACCTTACCCCCACCCCCCAAAAAACTCCTTATTAATTAGAAAAATGAAGATTAATTTTGATGCAGGGTGGAGAGATCTGTGTGTCTGGAGGGGAGGCTGATGCAATCACTTCAGAGAGGGTGGGGTGGGTGGGGTAGGGTCTCAGCAGGGACAGGGACCAAGGAAGGGAGAGGAGGGGCCGGATTTGAGAAACACTGCAAAACAGTCAACAGGATGTGGGGCTGGGAAGCAAGCAGGGTCAAGGTGACTGAGGTTTGCAGACTGTGGTGTCTGTAACCTAGATGTGAGGTGCTGCCCGTTAGAACATCTGTCAAACCTGCTGCCCAAGTCTCATCCCTCATCCTGCCCGGAAGCTCTTATTTCCTGCAAATGGGGTGCTGGCCAGGGCAGTGAAACTCTACCCTAAAATGCGTGGGTGGGAGGCAGTCATCATGGTGACTGAGTTCAAGTGCAGAGAAAGGAGATGGAAGCCCATAATTCCTCGTAAGGCACCCCGGTGGTGCAACGGTTAAGCACTTGGCTGCTAACCGAAAGGTAGGAGGTTGAACCTACCAGTGGCTCCATGGGAGAAAGAGCTGGCAATCTGCTCCTGTAAAGATTACAGCTTAGAAGACCCTATGGGTCAGTTCTACCCTGTCCTATACGGTTGCTGTGAGTCAGAACCAACTCAATGGCACATAACAACAACAGTTCCTCTTTGGCACCTAGGAAATGCCCGGCTGATGAGATTGGTGGCTCACATCCCCTCCCCACCACCAGCCTGTCCCCACATCTATGTCTTGCAGAGACAGAAGCATGTAGTGGTGGTTGGACAAAAAAAAAAATCAAACCTGTTTCCATCAAGTCAATTCCGTCTCATGGCGACCCATGTGTCACAGAGTAGAACAGCTCCATAGGATTTTTTTTCCTTTTTGCTATAATCTTTACAGAAGCAGACTGCCAAGTCTTTCTTCTGCAGCTCCAATGAGTGGGTTCGAACCTGCCAACCTTTTGATGGGTAGACTAATGCAAACCTTTTGCGCCACCTGGGGACCCTGGAGGTTGGGCAGTGGAGTGAAAAAATTCAGAGATGTAAGGGACCAAGGATATTCAATACTTTCCTTTAATGACTGACCGATCAAAGAGCTGTTGAAATCCAGTTTGCAGCCCTGATTTTTTTTTTTTTTCCAGCCATGCTCAGCATCCCAAGGTAGGTGTGGAAGGCAGGAGGTGCCAATCCTGCAGAAGGTTCTGATGGGCAGCCTTTCTTTGATACTTCCTCCCCCACCCTCCAGTTGGGGAGGTGTCCTCTGCCTGGGATTCCCCCATCAAAGCTCAGATCACTCTGTGTTGTGTTTAGAGGTCCCTGGATGGAGCAAATGGTTTGCGCTTGACCTCATTTTACTGGGATCAACAATCAACACACATGGAAGCAGCAGTCAAGAAATCAAAAGATGCATGGCATTGGGCAAATCTGCTGCAAAAGACCTCTTTAAAGTGTTGAAAAGCAAAGATGTTGCCTTGAAGACTAAGGTGAGCTTGACCCAAGCCACGGTGTTTTCAGTCGCATCATATGCACGCGAAAGCTGGACAATGAATAAGGAAGACTGAAGAAGAATTGATGTCTTTGAATTGTAGTGTTGGCGAAGAATATTGAAGATACCATGGACTGCCAAAAGAACGAGCAAATCTGTCTTGGAAGAAGTACAACCAGAATGCTCCTTAGAAGCAAGACTATGTCTTACATACTTTGGACATGTTGACAGGAGGGACCAGTCCCTGGAGAATAACATCATGCTTGGTAAAGTAGAGGGTCAGTGAAAAAGAGGAAGACCTTTAAGGAGATGGATTGACACAGTGGCTGCAACAGTGGGCTCAAGGATAATGATTGTGAGCATGGCGCAGGACCGGGCAGTGTTTCGGTCTGTAGTACATAGGGCCGCTATGAGTTGGAACCGACTTGACGGCACCTAACAACAACAACTAACCTAAAGGAGCCCTGGTGGCGCAGTGGTTAAGCGCTCGGCTGTGAACCAAAAGGTCCGCAGTTCCAATCCACCAGCCACTCCTTGGAAACCCTATGGGGCAGTTCTACTCTGTCGTATATGGTTGCTTTGAGTCGGAATTGACTCGACGGCAACGGGTTTACTAACCTAAAGGCTGGCGGTTCGAACTCACCCAGCGGTGCTGGGGAAAGAAGTCCTGGCGATCTGCTTCCATAAAGATTGTTGTTAGATGCCATCCAGTTAATTTTGACTCATAGTGACCCCATGTGACAGAGTAGAACTGCCCCATAGGGTTTTCTAGGCTGTAATCTTTATAGGCCTACTATTACGAGGATGACACAGGACGGAGCAATGTTTTATTCTGTTATACATTGAAACATGAGAACTGGCATTTGACGGAGCTGCCTTGTTTTACTGGATCTCACAGGTCTTCCGCCTTTGACAGGGTGCAGTCTCACCACTTTCCTATTGCTCTCTATTAGTGGAAAATATTTGAGTTTTCCTTCTCTGACCGGTTTCCGCCTTACACAGGTTCTGGCTTTCGCAGGTTTTACTGTACTTAGGGTTGCTATGAGCTGGAACCAACTCAACGACACCTAACAACAACAGCAACGATCTTTATGGGAGCAGACCACCCGGTCTGTCTCCCCAGGAGCCTCTCGGTGGGTTTGAACTGCCAATGTTTCAGTTAGCTTCTCAGCACTTTAACCACTGCACCACCGTATCTCCTTTCCATATAGATTACAGCCAGGAAAACCCTATGGAGCAGTTCTACTCTGTAACACGTGGGGTCACCATGAGTTGGAATCGATGGCAATGGGTTTGGTTTATTTATTTTTTGATGCTGTTTGCCATTAAGATCGGCTCAGACTAACCATCCTGCAGCCTTCCTAGCTCCTCCAGCAGTGCCCACTCTCCTCTGCACCCCACCCCCAGCCCGTCTTCCAGCCCAGTCCTCACGCCACTGAGCTGGGAGGGTCTGTGTCTGGCTCTGTCTCTCCCTGAGGGGCTAAGCACAGAAGGGCGACGTTGGAAAGCTGGGGTCCACAGGTTCAGGACTCAGGTTCCAGCTGACCCTGCAGGGAGCCTGGATGGCGCAGCTCCCAAAACTGGTTTGGAGATGGGTGGGGAGACCAATAGCCAGGCCGAGCCCCTTCACCCATGACGAGAAGTCAGAGCCCTGGAATGTCAAAACCAGCCCCAACCCCAGGTGGACGAGGACCAAGAGGGCAGAGACATGGGATGCGGGCAGGGGCTAGGGGGTGACCAAAGGCGGATATTTTGGGGACCATGTGGTTCTTTGAATTAGATATTGGCAAAGAATATTGAATATACCATGGACTGCCAGAAGAACGAACAAATCTGTCTCGGAAGTACAGCTAGAATGCTCATTAGAAGCAAGGACGGCAAGACTTCGTCTCACATATTCTGGACACGTTATCAGGAGGGAACAGTCCCTGGAGAAAGACATCATGCTTGGTAAAGTAGAGGGTCAGCGAGAAAGAGGAAGACCCTCAAGGAGATGGAATGACACAGCGGCTGCAACCTTGGGCTCAAGCATAACAATTGTGAGGATGGTGCAGGACCAGGCAGTGTTTTGTTCTGTTGTAAACAGGGCCGCTACGTGTTGGAACTGACTCGACGGCACCTAACAACACCAACATGTGGTTGCAGCCAGGTCCCAGGTGGGACCCGCCAGATCATCTTCTGCAAGAAGGCTAGGACACAATTTCTGGAAAGGAAAGTGGGACAAACTCAAGTTTTTCGGCGGGAGGGGCCTCAGATACAAGTTGGAGCCTTGGGCAAGCGACTGAACCTTTCTGAGCCTCTGTCTTCCCACCTGTAAAATGGGGCATCACTACCCTATTTTGAGCGTTGTGAGAACACTGTCCTTGTAGACGGTGCTCAGTAAGTTAATTCTTGCTTTCATCCCACAAATATTTATTGCCTTCTGTGAGGGGAGGAGGAAGGAAGTCAACTTGTCAAGATCCCCGACTCGGCCTGGCACTTTGCAGACAGGATACGACTCATTTTGAGCTTACTAGATATCTGGGAGGTAGGTTCTGCTGTTAGCCCCGTTGGACACATAAGGAAGCAGAGGCTTGGGCAGCGGGTGTGACATAGGGGAGGCCAGGCCCCAGGGTGGGGTGGGTGACTGCAGAGCTGCCCCCAGACCCAGGGCCTCGGCTGGGCTGGGGGCTGCAGGACCAGCCCTTTGGCCAACGCAGCCACGGTAAATGGCGCTCCCACCACAGAGTCAGGCTCCCAGCAGGCAGGAGGGGTGTGGGGGTGGAATCGTGGGCCCCAGCTCAGATCTTCTCAACGTAGTTTCCCGGGAAGAGGCCCTCCTGGCCGTGCAGCCGGCCCTTCCACCAGCCTGAGGGATCTGCGGGAGAGAGGGAGAGTGAGGCGGCTCCCAGCCCACCCAGAGAAGGGCCTTGTGGGTGTGGGAGGCCAGTCTGTGTCTGTCTCATTTATCTCCACAACCCTAGCCTGACCCAAGGCAGGCACTGAAGAGTTGTCAACTGACGGACGAACAAATGAAGGAAGGCGGGAAAGAAAGAAGGACAGATGCACGCCTGTTCTTCCCTAGCCACTGTTTCATAGACTGCCATTCTCTGGAACATTCCCGTGTTCTTCCCTCACCCATCTTCTCCCCCGACCCCCACAAACCCCAGGATGGAACCAGGAATGACCAGGACTCCCCGGCCCCAGGTAAGCTCCCCCATCTACCTGCCAACCAAACAACCAACGAGGTGCTACCGAGTCAATACCGACTCGTGTTGAGCCCATGTGTGCCAGAGTAGAACTGCTCCACAGGGTTTTCAATGGCTGTGACCTTTTGGAAGCAGATCGCCAGGCCTTTCTTCTGATCACCTCTAGGTGGGTTCAAGCTGCCAACCTCCTGGTTAGTAGTTGAGCGCTTAACCGTTTGCACCACCCTGCACTCCATCCACTTGCAGAGGGTGCTACTGAGTCCCAAGCCCCTCTGGGGGCAGCCGAGGGGACGAAGGTAGAAGGTGGCCTGGGTCATCCTCTTCTCAAGTGGTCTGCAAGGTAGGCTCTGCTGTTAGGCCCGTGTCTGACAGATGAGGAAACTGAGGCTCAGCTACTAGGTGTAATGCAGGGAAGTCAGGCCCCCCCAAGGTGGCTTAGCAGGTGACCTCCAGACCCACGGCCTTCTGGGATATGCAGCCACATGGTGGGGGTCCTGAGCTGGTCACCTCTGTTCTCACATGGGAAGGGTATGCATTAGTGGGGAGCTGCCAGCTGTGTCAGGGTCTGCCTCCCCCCAGCCCTGGCCCTGGCACACACCTTCCATGAGGATCTCGATGACCTCATTCACATTGAAGCTCAGCTCATCCACGTCTTGGCCTATGTACTCGTACAGTGTCCGGCATCGTGGGCCATGTATCCGAGGTTGGGGCTTGGGCCGGCCCACGCCAGGCACCGGTCGCTGCCCTATGCTGCGCTTCCTTTGCATGCTGGGGGCACAGGGGGTGCTTGTCACAGCCCCAGATACTCCCCTAGTCCCTGCCCACCTCTGGGGCTGCCCTCCCCTCACCTACCCGGCCGCACCCTGGTCAGGCACGTTGAGGAATTCTGTGTTGTGCTCTGAGGGAGGCCGTGCCCGGTGCCGTCTGCTGGCTCCCGGTGCAGATGCTGGAGGGCCCTGGGGAGGCCGCTGGGAGCCCCTTCCAGATGTGAGCTCCAGGGGAAGGGGGCCCCCTCTGGCAGTAGGGGGCACCCCGTTGCGGTCCAGGCCTGTGGTGGGAGCAAGGATGAGAGCATTTATCAGGGTGATGCTAGGAGGATTTGGGGACGACCCAGCTCGCAGTTTCCAGTTTGAGAGAGGAGTCAGACATACTCTCAACCCAGTATGGTAAGGACTGGGCCAGAGAGAAGAACCGGGGGATAGGAGGGCTTAGAAAAACGCTTTGCAGGAGGAAGCTCCCCTTCCCCCATCTCCTCTGTATGAGAGCTTTTGTGGATGGGTCTTGGAGGATGAATAGGAGCTCAACAAGTGGAGTAGGAATTGGTGGCGCAGGCAGAAAACAGCCCAAGCAAAGGACTGGGGATAAGAACAAATTTGGTCAGTTGACAAAATAATATGTAGCCTGTATAACAGGAGAGTATGGGGGGAGGAGAGACGAGATCATTGGTTAGCCAGGGTCATATCTTGAGGAGCTTTGAACGCCAAATTAAGCTTAGCCTTATTCTGCAGGCGATGGAGACCTATGGAGAGTTCTGGACGGAGAAAAGTGGTCAACTCTGCTTCTTAGATCCCGTCAGCTGAAGGTCTGGCTTAGGCCATGGGGCCCACAAGAGGCAGGAAAAAATACTTAGTGTGGGGTCATCTCCTCACCTATGGGGGGTCTGGGGGCTGCCCTGACAGGCGCCTGGGCAGGCCTTCGGGGTTTTCCCTGGGCCATTCCCTTCCGCGTAGGCTCTGAAAGCGGAAGTGGGGTAGGGACTTTAGTGGTGGCCACACAGGCCCACACTCTTGTCCTTGCCCACACTCCTGCCCTCCCTGTGACTCCACCCCCTCAGGCTCTCCCATCAGCACCATCCCTCAGTTACTAGAACCCTGGCTCCGCCCAATAACTGGCCCCGCCCCCACATGAACAACTTCTCATGGCCATTGGCCATCCTCACAGGTCGCCTCTTTGCCCACGTCCCTTCAGATTGCTCACCCACTCATTGGTCACCTTAGTGGACCTGCTCCATAGCTTTCGCCCACTCAGCCAGCCTCACTGGCCCCGCCCACAACCCTGATTGGCTCTCTCGCTGACCCTCCCTTCTCCAGGGCCCGCCTCTTCCTGACCACATTTTTTGCTCCGCCCCCCCCAGTTCTGCGCAGACTCACTGGAACTCTTGGGCAGCCCATCGCCCACGCTGACCGTGAGGGCCCGGCCGCCAGCCTTGAGTAGGGCTACGTCGCCCAAGCCACGGGAGAAAGTGACACTGCGGGTACCGCCCCCGCCCCAACCCTCCTTCTTCACTCGGAACTGTAGTCTGTGGGGAGGGGAGGAAGCTGTGGGGGCGCAGGCCAGGGTCCCCTTCCCACTCCACCATCGCTGGGCCCGGACGCGGGGGCGGGGGATGAGGAGGGGCCGGGCAAAGGCGCAGCTGGGCCGAGCCTGTGGGGTGGGAGTTGGGGGCACTGTGCTCAGACCAGCCCCGGGCCCGACCCCGGGGATGGTGGTGGTGGTGGTGGTGGTGGGGACCGTACGTGTCGTTGAAGGTGAGGGGCAGGGGCCGCCGTGCCGCCTCCTCGAAGCGCTTGCAAAGGAGGCTGACGAACTCGGTCTTAAAGATGCTCTCCAGGAAGCTGTCGGCTGCGTCCTCTTGGAGGATGAAGAAGTCATCCTGCCTCGTGCTGGGGGAGGGGCGGGAGGAAAGACAGGTGAGGGTGACAGGTGAGACACAGGGGAGAGTGGCTAAAGGACAGGTGAGATGCAACAGAGTAAGGTCAGGTAAGGGACAAGTTACACAGGTCAGGAAAAGAGGGAGAGGTGGCAAGGGGCTAGGAAAGGTGGTAACAGAGAAAGACCAGGTGAAGTCTAGTAACAGGATAAGGTGGGGGACAGAAGTTGTTTGCAAATAATGGTCACAAGTGTGATGGCAGATGAAATGACAGGTAGCTCCAAGAAAGGGTAACAAATATAGCTGAGGATGACAAGGGAGCAGGTGAGGGTGACTGTGGGGCTGGTGGGGACGTGGCCTCACCTGAGGGAGACGCCCCGCAGGGCCTGGAGCTCCAGCTTCTTCTTCAGGACCTCCCGCACCTGACCCTTCTCCGGCCCTTTCTTCACCTTCTCCCGCCCGATCACATACACATACTTGGAGGTCAGGATCAAGTCCCGCTTGATGGGCTATGGGATACAGGACCAGAAGCTGGTGGCTGGAGCCCTGGGCATGGGCATCCTGACCCCAGTGGATCAACACCAGGCAGTGGGATGGTGCTGGTAGATCAGGTGAAGGTGTGCAGGTCAGGTGAGTGTGTATAGTCTGGATGGGTGGGTGGGCCAGGAGAGGGTGTCCCTCCAGGTGAAGGTATATGTGTGGTTAAGTTATGTAGGAAAGAGGAGGAGATTTAAGTGAAGGTATATTGGCTAGAAAAAGGTGTGTGGGACAGTGAACAGGTGCAGGTTAGGTGAAGGTGCACCTGCTGGACATGGGTACCTGGGCCAGATGAGAGTGCTTGGATCAGATGGAAGTACCTGGCTCCTGTGACCGTAGCCAGCTCTTGTGAAAGAATATGGTTCAGGTGAAGGTGTAGAGACCAGGTAGCTAGATAAGGGTATCTCAGTCATGAGAAGGAGTGAGGGCCAGGTGTGTGTCCAAACCATGAGAGTCTGTACAGACAGGCAGGTGAGGGTGTACCTGCTGAAGGGTGTATCTGGGCTCAGTGAAGATATGCGCAGGTATGCAGAGGGTGTACCTGTGGTCAGGGCTGTCTGGGTCCAACAGGGGTACCTGCCTAGGTGAAAATGCCTACCAGGTGATGGGTTTCAGGTCAGCTGAGGGTGTATCTGCCACATAGACCTGTCCAAAGCAGGTAAAGGTGTATGGGCCAGGTGAAGATACCCACGCCTAGTAAGGATGTCTGGGATGTGAGGTTGTACAGATCAGGTGAAGATGTACCTGTCAGTCAGGTATTTCTGGTATAAGTGAGGGTGTATAAGTCAGATGAGGGTTTATCTGGTGGACCAGCGTGTCTACTCCAGGTGAAAAAGTACACATCAGGTGAGAGTGTACCTTCCACATAAACTTGTCAAAGGCAGGTGGACAATGTGAGTGTCCATCCAGGTAAAGATCTGTAGGTTATCTCACGGTGTACCCACCACATAGGGCTCTCTAGGACAGAGGGGTTTGTTTGTGCTAGGTGACAGTGTCTAGGACATGAGAGGTAGTATGGGTCAAGTGAAGGTGTACCTGATGAATAGGAGTGTCTGAGTCAGGTGAGGATAGAACTGTGGAGATGCCCAGATGTCTAGTCCAGGTGAGGGGATACAGCTCAGGTATGAGTGTACCTGTGGACAGGAGTATCTACGCCAGGTGATCAGAGCACACCTGTGCTCAGGCTGTCTGGGCCAGGTGAGGATATATCTCTGATGGGGGTGTCCAGCTGTTTAGGCCAAGTGATTGTGTGCAGGTCAGGGAGGGGTATACCTGTGGACAGAACTGTCTGGGCCAGGTTGAGAGTGTACCTCTGATCAGGCCTGGCTGGGCCAGTTGGGCATGTACCTCTGGATGAGCCTGCCTAGACCAGATGAGTGTACCTATGGATAGGTGTATCTGGGCCAAGTGAAGGCATATCTGATTGACAGGTATATCTAGGTTAGGTGACAGTGTACCTGATGGATAGGTGTGTCCAGGATAGGCGAAGGTGGCTCTGTGGTCAGGGTTTCTGGGCAAGATGAATGTGTACTTGTGGACAGGTGGTTTGGGCCAGGTGAGGGTGTGGGTGGGGTGCTAGGCTAAGGCCAGGGTCCTGGACCTGCCCACTTGCTAATGCCTCACCTTGAAGCGACGGTCGTACTTGGTGATGGAGTCAGCAAAGTCCACACGCTCCCTCTTGCCCAGGAACTGACGCAGCTCTGGCCGCTCCTCCAGCCCCAGGTAGTCCCCAACGAAGTTCCGGTTGATGCTGTTCCGCCTCCGCTCCTTCTTGTTGAGCAGGATGTTGGAGGCTGTGGGGACACAGGGTGAGGTCATGTGACTGTAGCCAGCTCTTGAAGGAGTATGCTTCAGGTGAGGGTGTATAGGCTAGGTAGCTAGATAAGGATATCTGGGTCATAAGCGGGATTAAGGGCCTGGCTCCTCCTGGTCCATGCCATTCCCACCCTGAGCCTCCCACCCGCAGCCTCTCACCTTCCTCCCTCATCTCCTCATACTTCCGGACCGCGACGTGGCGCCGCCAGGCCTTCTGGATGGTACGGGCAAAGCCATCAAACTTGCGTTCACGCATCTCCTCCAGGAGGAAAAGCTGAGCAAGGGAGAGGGGCTGTGGGCTGGTGTCTCCCAGGAGGCCAAAGTCTCTGGTGTCCCCTGGGCTATCCCACCCACACACTCTTGTTCACACACACCTCCATACACGCTCATACGCTGTATCTGAACTTTTTTGTCTTCCACTAAGTGACTGGATCCAGGGATGCCTCCCATTCCACGGGATGAGCTTCTGCATTCAGTTAAAACCGCAGGCCTGTCTGGCTGTGTTCTAATCCCAGCTCTGCCACTTAACTCACTGTGAAATTTTGACTGCTCCATGCCTCAGTTTCCCCATCTCTAAAATAACAGCACCTACCTTATAGGGAAGGAGACTTTGTATGCAAATGGTTGAGTACTTGGCTATTAACCAAAAGGTTGGTGGTTTGAACCCACCCAGTTGCTCCAAGGGAGAAAGACCTGGCAATTTGCTTCCATAAAGATTACAGCTAAGAAAATCTTATGGGGCAGTTCTACTCTGTCACATGGGGTCGCTATGAGTTGAAATTGACTCAGTGGCACCAAACAACAACAACAACACCTCACAGGATTAATATTTTTAAAAAATACCTTAAACCAAAAAAAAAAAAAAACCAGTTGCTGTCGAGTCAATTCCAATTCATGGCAACCCCCATGTGTTTCAGGGTAGAACTGTGCTCCATAGGGTTTTCATGACTGTGACCTTTCAGAGGCAGATTGCCAGGCCTTTCTTTTGAGGCACCTCTGGGGAGGTTTGAATCTCCAACCTTTTAGTTACTAGTCAAGTGCTTAACCGTTTGCATCACCCAGGGACTCCTAAAAAGCACCTTATAAATTTGTTACTTCTGCTTGGAAAACCCAGAAGATCCAGTGGAAAAACCCTCGGAATAAGTAAGAGGGTTATTCAGTAGAATGGCCAGATAAAACCTGGAGCTTTTCTCTTCTGCAGTAACGGTGTGCCAGGATATAGTTTGAGATGTTATCAAGTGCTTTTCTTCTAGTATTTCTTGTTACCTTAACTCTCCCTGATTTGGGAGGCTCAATCTTGCAGGTTCTGTTTGTAACCTTTTCTCAGAGACGTTTTACTTTCACTTGTTGGAAGACTTGTCATTGACTGACTGTTAGAATAGAAAACTTCACTGTTATCTGCCCCAAACTGGACAACCTCACGGCTTCTCACCTTGCTAATTAACACCATGTGAGGTGCACCCCAGTTTCAGAGGTGTTATAAATCAGAACCAGTGTGTGTCTTAGAAACCAACAAAACACCCCCCCGCAAAAATGGCACTGATTTAATAAAAAACAGAAAACAACAAATGCTGGAGAGGATGTGGGAGACTGGAACCTTTATCCACTGCTGGTGGAACTGTAAAATGGTGCAACCACTAGGGAAAATAGTATGGTGCTTCTTGGCCCCCAGACACCCTTTTAGCTCAGTAATGAAGTCACTCCTGAAGTTCACCCTTCAGCCAAAGATTAGACAGGCCCATAAAACAAAACGAGGCTAAATGGTCACACCAGACCAGGGGCAAGGACGAGAAGGCAGGAGGGGACAGGAAAGCTGGTAATAGGGAACCCAAGGTCGAGAAGGGATAGTGTTGACATGTTGTGGGGTTGGCAACCAATGTCCCAAAACAATATGTGTACCAATTGTTTAATGAGAAGTTCTCTTCATCTAAAGTACAATTAAAAAAAAATAAAAAGAAATTTTCATGACAAAAAAGTAAGACCTCTACGAATCAATATGGTATGATTTACAGGATATATTGTTTAAAAAAAAAAGTGAAAAAAAAAAAGAAAAAAGTATGGTGCTTCCTCAAAAAGCTAGAAACAGAAATACCTTATGATTCAGCAATCCTTCTCTTAGGCATAAACCCTAGAGATCTAATAAAAGAGACACAGACAGACATATGCACACCTATGTTCAGTGCAGCATTATTCACAGTAGCAAAAAGATGGAAACAACCTAAGTGCCTATAAATGGTTGAATGGATAAACAAAATGTACCTACATACAGTGGAATACTACGCAGCCATGAAGAATAATGATGAGTCCTTGAAACAACATGGATGAATCTGGAGCACATTATGCTGTGTGAAGTAAGTCAATCACAAAAGGACTGCACTTTTATAAGAAGACACGAGTAGACGTATATACAGAGACCAATGCTCATTGGTAGTTACCAGGGATGGGTGTGGAGGCAAGGGGAAAGCACCCTTGAGATAGTAGACACTTGTTATTTTTGGTGATGGGAGAGGCAGCATCGAATGTGGGTGAAGTGTACGTAGCCTGATCAAGGTAATGATGTCACAATCCCAAGGTAAATGATGTGACTAAGAAGTACACAAGACAAAAGGTGGTTTTTGGTAAAGGATATGACAAATACAGTTTTGCAACAACACCAGCAACAACCAAAAATGTGTGGTTACACAAATGTGTATATAGGCATATATGTGTATGGGTATGAATATGTGAATACATATGTGTGCACAGATAGATGTATCAGTAGGCATGCCTACATACAGGTATGCATGTGCATGCATGTATCCAGATAAATATAAATCACACAGGGGACACAGTTATGGATACTTCTTAGACATAACCAAACACCTCAGCAGATTGATTTTCTGTGTGTGAAGGCTTAGGACCGTAGTCTCGTGGGACAACTCAGTTAATTGGCATAATACAGTTCATAAAGTGTAGGTTCTACACCCCAATGCGGCAAGCAGTGTCTAGGGTCTTAAAAGCTTGTGAGTGGTCATTTAAGATACATCTGCTAGTTTCTACTTGTGTGGAACAAAAGAAAGAAGGAAACCAAAGGCTCAGAGAAGAAAGACTACAGGGCTGATAGCCTACATGAACCACGGCCTCATCTACCCTGAGACCAGAAGAACTAGACGGTGCCCAGCTACCACTAACGACCATTTGATCTGATCTGGTCTGATCCATCTGATAGATGGATCCTGATAGAATGGGAGAAAAATGAGGAACAGAACTCATACTCTAAAAGTCCGCACTTACTGGACTGGTTGAGGCTATAGGACTCCCTGAGACTATTGCCCGGAGATACTCTTTTAACCTTAAACCAAAATGATCCCTTGAGGTCACCTTTTAGCTGAATAACAGATTGGCTCATAAAATAAAGAATATCACCGGTGAGTAATGAGCTCCTTTAAAAAATCATCTATATGAGACCAAGTGGTCAAAAATTACTGTAAAGCAAAGATGAGAAGATAAGGGGGCAGCGAAACTGTAGTACTGGAAATGGTACAACCAGAATGGAATGAATGAGAATAATGATGCATTTGTGAAAAATGTAACCAATCATCACTGAATAATTTGTGTAGAAATTATTAGATGGGAGCCTCATTTGCTGTGTATTTTCATCTTAAACACAATAAAGTATTATTTGAAAAAAAAACCAGTAAAGCAGTTTAAGAAATACGAAAATCTGATATATAGGTCTGTGATATTACAACCCTGTGGTTGTACACTGTACAGCCTGTACAATCATACATGGCAGTCTTGAGAAAGGAAGTTTTTGCAGAAAGCAGGAAAAAGGCTTTTGAGTTTCAAGAGTTCAGGCCCAGAGGGGATTTAGAGAATACACTAGAACAAGTCAGAGTGGAAAAGGCCATGAGGAGTGTCTAGGTCTTGGGTAGCCCCACGGAGCTTCCTGAGTTTGTGGCCAGGGATAGTTGTGTGCTTGGCTACTAACTGAAAGGTTGGCAGTTTGAACCTACCCACAGGCCCTTGAAAGAAAGGCCTGGCGATCTGCTTCCAAAAGGTCAGAGCCATGAAAACCCTATGGAGCACAGTTTTACTCTGGAACACGTGGGGTCACCATGAGTTGGAATTGATTCGATGGCAACTGGTTGGAGTCCCTGAGTGGCACAAATGGTTAAGTGCTCGGCTACTAACCAAGAGGCTGGCAGTTCAAATCCACCCAGAGGCCCCTTGGAAGAAAGGCTTGGCGATCTACTTCTGCAAGGTCACAGCCTTGAAAACCCTATGGGGCAGTTCTACTCTGAAACACATGGGGTTGCCATGAGTCGGAATCAACTTCTGACTAGTTACAACTAGTTAGAAAATATAAGGGAACAAAAGACCCTATTTTACAGTAACATGGAAGGGAAGGGGGGAGGGGAGGAAGGAAGCAAGGGAGAAAGAACCCAGATACTGAACTTAACCTGAAATATGTGGAGCAGAATGACAAAACTGTGCTGAAAGATGGAGAATAAATGGAGACACACTGCCTTCTTTGGTTGGAAGTCAGAATAATGTTAGATTAATTTATAGGCTGGAAGGAAATCCAATCAAAGTCTCAGTGCAATTGTTTTATGGAACTGAAAAAAGAATGATTCTTAAGTTCATCTGGAATAATCAAGAGGTGAACCTAGCAAGGAGCAGAACCCACTGGATATTAACATATTAGAACTCTACGGCAATGAAAGCAGTGGGGTGCTGGTCAAAGGTTAGACCAATCTACTGAAATGGAAGTTTGAGTCCACTCAGAAGCACCTCGGAAGAAAAGGCTGGTGATCTGCTTCCAAAACATCAGCCATTGAAAGCCCTCTGGAGCCTAGTTCTGCTCTGACACACATGGGGTCACCATGAGTCAGCGTCGATGGCAGCTGGGTAATATAAACAGAATCATCTTGTCAGTCTCCTGGTTGGCCTCATAAAGTCCCTTCGTTGCTGCTAGAGCCTTTGCCAAGTGGAGTGTGCTTATGCAGGTGATAAGGGTCCCATCCCCGCACACCTTTCAGCTTGTCCCAGGCTTTGGGGAGCTAGGATTCACCTGGCAGACAGCAAAGTTCATTGAGACAGTGCTCTGGGCGTGGTCTTCCTGTTTGCTCTCGATTCGTGTGCTAGAAGCAGGTGGCCAGGTGGACCTAGGGGATTTCCTGCCCTAGTTTTCTGTTCTTGTTTGTTTTTTCCCTGAAAATAGAGGGTGTGCAAAGTTGGGGGTGCTTTCATTCTTTTAATACAGGCTAAGAGCTGCTGATGGAGTCCCTGGGGGGGCACAAATGGTTAAGTGTTTGGCTACAACCAGAAAAGTTGGGAGGTTCGAACCCACCCAGAGGCACCTCATAAGAAAGGCCTGGAGATCTACTTCCAAAAGATCACAGCGGTTGAAAATCCTATGGAGTACAGTTCTGCTCTGACACACATGGGGTTGCCATGAGTCCGAGCCAACTCCATGGACCTGGTTACTGGTTAAGAGCTGCTAATCGTGCCCTGGAGGGATTATTTGCACACTGGAGAACTTATGCTGAGGTTTGTCTTTGATGTAGAAGGGTGTAAGGCAGATCTTGAAATAAAATAGCCACTTGTATATTCATCCCAGGCCCAGGAACTCAGTATGTTCTGGAAGGAAGGAAGAAAAGAGGAAAGAGAAGCTAGAAGAGGAGGAAGAGAAGAATGAAGGAAGAGAAGGAGGAAGGAAAGAAGGGAAAAGATGTTCTGGAGGAGTCCTGTGTCATTCTTTCCAAGTCTGCCATGCGGTGCTCCAGGGCCTTCCCGGCCACCAAGAAGTATCCAGCTTATTTGGCTTTTTCTGAGCACCCACCATCCAGCGGCTCCTCGGGAGAAAGGCCTGGCGATCTGCTCCCGTAAAGATTACAGCCTAGAAAACCCTATGGGGGCAGTTCTGCTCTGTCACGTGGGGTCGCTATGAGTCGGAATCAAAGGCACACAACAACGACTATGTGCCAGGCACCTACTGTGTGCAGTGGGTTTCCCGTTTGGTCTGATCCTCACCCAGGTCCTGCAGGGTGGCTATTACTCTTTCCATTTTCCAAATGTGGAAACAGGCTCAGAGGAGTGAGGGAGCTGGCCAGTGTCTCCCAGAGGCCTGAAGAGCAGGACCCGAGCCCACGAAGGTGTCAGTCTGTCTCACACACACCCACTCTTACCGACTCGGGGTTCTTGATGAAGACCTTGGTGCCGCCCATCTGGTACTGGTCGGGGTCCATGTTGACGGCCTGGAGCAGGTGCTGGACCCCCTGGCGCTCATCCCCACGCCACCGCGGCCACGTCTCGGGGGTCAGAATGGCGTACCTGGAGGCAGAGGGCCGTTGTGGGGGAGTTTGGAGCAGAGGGCATGATGGTGGGTGCGTTGGGGAGTGGTGGGGGCTGGGCGGCGGGGTACCTCACTCACCTCTGCAGGAACTTGGGGAACTGGCGGCGGTAGGCAAAGCCCGCCCTGCGTACCCGGATGTTCTCCTTCAGGCCCAGGTACTCCACCTGGTGCTTGACCCTGGGGGAGGGCAGCCTGAGTCCCCTGATGGGGCCTCACCATCCTGGGGTGGGTGCTGCTGGGAGGGTGCTGGGAAGGACAGATCCTGGCCTGGGGGTCTGCACTGGTGTGGGGCTGAGTTCTGAGGTCTGGTGCGGGGGTTCAGTGCCTGCGTCAGGGGTCAGCCTGGGAGTCAGGTGCTGGGGATGGGCCTGGGCTTGGGGAGGAGTCTGTTTGTCCTGTCGGTCTGTTTTGGGGCCTGGGGAGCTGGGGGTCTGTGGTAGTCCCTGGCCATCCTACAGTCAGTCTGGGGTCATCCCTGGGGCTGGGGGTCTTGGTCAGTCCTAGGTGTCACCCGGGGGCCCGGAGGGGTTCTGTGTGGTTTTAGGAACCAGCCGAGGTCAGTTCTGGGATGGGTCCTGGGGCCCTAGGAGGGTCCATGCTGGTCCCGGGGTGGGAGTCACCTGCCCTCCTCCCAGTCGCGAGGTTTCTTGGTCTCGTTGGGTTTGATGCATCTAATGTAGTGGGGCGTGCACCTCTTCAGCGTGGCCACTAGGTCGTTGGCTTGTTTCTGGGGTTGGGGAAGGGTGGGGTTGGAGCTTAGATAGGACCCTTAGGTTCCACTCTTCTCCCCAACCTGGACACAGACCCAAGAGACAGAGAGACACTGGGGGTGGGGGCTGTCACTGGATGACTCCCAGAGCTCAGGTGGCCTTAGTCTGTGTACACCTCTGTTAGCCCACACTATGCGGGATCAATATTCTCTGCCTGACCCTTGGATTCCCTGGGTGGTGAAAACGGTTAATGCACTCGGATTCTCACCAAAAGGTTGGAAGGTCTAGGTCCAGCCAGAGGCACCTTGAAAGAAAGGCTGGCAATCACAGAAAATCCTATGGGGCACGGTTCTACTTTGACACACATGGGTCACCATGAGTCGGGACTGACTCTGTGGCAACTGATTTTTACTGGATCTGGCCCTCGCACCCGAGACTGGGGGTTCTCAAGTCTGCCACAATCACCACTTAGCAAGGGCCTGGCACATGGCAACCAGTTGCCATTGAGTTGACCCCAATTCATGGTGACTCCATGGGTATCAGAGTAGAACTGTGCTCCATAAGATTTTCAATAGCTGATTTTTCGAAAGTAGATTGCCAGGTCTTTCTTCAAGGTGCCTCTGGGTGGACTTGAACTGCCAACCTATTGGTTAGCAGCCGAGCACGTTAACCGTTTGCACCAGCCAGGGACTTCTGGCATGTGGTAAGTGCCCAGTAAACACTTGTTAACTGAGTATCTGAGCGTCGGGAGGACATGTTGCCCAGGAGTAGCCCATTTGTGGGTGAGTTCTGGCTGCTGGAGCCACTTTGGAAGTAGGGAATCCTGTGTGTGTGTGTGCGTGAGAGGCCAGAGTAGATGCCAGAGGCTGTGCGTTGTGCATCTCAGGCCCTTGGGGGATCTGAAAGGAAAATTGATCCAGGCGAAAGGGCTGGAGGTAATGGAAGGAGAGACCCAGGCATCGATCCTGGTTCTGCTGTGTAACCTGGCCCAGTGACTACCCCTCTTGAGCTTTGTCTCCTCACCTGCCAAATGGGACTAAAAGGGTACCCACATGTCTAGCCATTCATCCACTGATGGACATTTAGGTGGTTTCCATCTCTGGACTACTGTGAATAGTGCTGCAAGGAACATTGGTGTACAAGTCTCTGTCTGAGTCCCTCATTTCAAGTCTCTTGGGTATATACCTAGAATTGGGATTGCTGGGTCCCATGGTAGTTCTGTGTTTAACTCTTTGAGGAACCACCAAACTGTCTTCTGCAGCGGCTGCCTCATTTTAGAATCCTATCAGCAGTGGATGAGGGTTCTAGTTTCTCCACAACCTCGCCAATGGTACCCACGCGTATAAAGTGTCCTGTTGGGTTGCCAGCACCAGTAAGTGCTCAATACCTGATTATGGAAATATAGACGTGTGTTGGCGAGGCTGTGGAGCTTATTAGTGGTCACCAGGGGTGGGGGGAGCCCTGGTGGTGCAGTGGTTAAGAGCTCGGCTGCTAACCAAAAGGTTGGCAGCTTAACTCCAGCAGCTGTTCTTTGGAAACCCTATGGAGCAGTTCTACTCTGTCCTGTAGGGTCGCTATGGGCCAGAACTGACAGCACCTAACGAGAACAACAGAAGGGGTGGGGATGAGGGGCAGAGGGAGTTAACTGTCTGAGGGGCACTGAGTGTATGTTAGTGGTGGTGGAATGATTTGGAAAAGGATAGCAGTAATGGTGGCACAGCATGAAAAATGTCATCAGTGTCACTGAACTGTAAGTGTGGCAGTTGTGCTGGCAAGTGTGGTGGTGTGCGTATTTTCACCACAAAACCAAAAAAATATATATATTATGATGATGATGGTTCACTTCTGGATTTAGGGAGTTAGGGGGTCATCAAGGAAGCTGATCCAAGCCCCCCAAACCTGGAACTGGAGGAAGAACCTTCTGGACGGAGGGTACTGGAGAGACAGGGCAGAGGCTCCGGGGATGGGGGAGAGACAGATGTTGAAGACTGGCCAGGCTGGGTCCCAGCCCTCCCTGTGTCCCACGCCCCCTCACTGCCCCAGGCCCACCTTGATCTTGGAGCCGGCCGTGCTGGGGCGGCCCTTCTTGTCTCCATCCAGCTTTTCGGGAAAGAGCATCCGAAGGAAGGCCCTGGTGGGGGAGAGGAGGAGAAAGGCATTTGGAGGTGCAGCTGGACCCCAAGGCACCCTCCTTCAGAGGTGGGGCTGCCTCGGTGTCTGGTACCCAGAGAACACCCTGAAAAATATGGTTTGCCCTGAATGTGGGGGTCGTGATAGGCGGGAGTTGGGTTTCATTCTCTCTGGCCCTTGATTTGTGTGCACTTTTTACGTCTTCCTCTGGGAGTATATATGCGTTGAGTAGCAAGTACAATAGAGTGGAGATAAACTGAGTTATCAAATGTATCAGCTGGTGCAGCGTGTTGAGCGACAGGAATGGTCCCCGTCTGTGGTAGGCCAAAAATCTACCCCCCAAAATACGTTCTTAGCTGCCCTCGAGTCGGCCCCAGCTCATGATGACCCCACGCACAACAGAACAAGACATTGCCTAGTCCTTCGCCATCCCCATGATCGGTTGCAGATCAGACTGTTGTGATCCACTGGCTGATTTTTGGAAGTAGATCTCCATGCCTTTCTTCCTAGTCTGTCTTAGTCTGGAAGCTCCGCTGAAACCTGTTCAGCATCGTAGCAACATGCAAGCATCCACTGCCAGATGGGTGGTGGCTGTGCGCGAGGTGCATTGGCTGGGAATTGAACCCAGGTCTCCCACATGGGAGGCGAGAATCCTACCACTGAACTACCACTGCCTCATTGTCCCCAAAACACATCCAGGTCAAACCCCTGGAACCTTGGAAAAGGGGTCTTTGCAGATGTAATTCAATTAAGGATCTTGATCCTGGATTGTCCAGGTGGGCCATAAATCCAATGGTAAGTGTCCTTATACAGGAAAGGCACAGGGAGATTTGAGACAGCAGAGACGACACAGCAGAGGAGGAGGCAGTGTGACCATCGAGACAGAGATTGGAGTGATGTAGCCACAAGCCAAGGAATGCCTGGAGCCACCAGGAAACTAATGACACCCTTCTAGGAGGGATATCATTGCTGATGGCAGATGGATCCTGGCTGAAAGCAGAGAATACCAGAAGGATGTTTACCTGTGTTTATTGACTATGCAAAGGCATTTGACTGTGTGGATCATAACAAATGATGGATAACACTGCGAAGAATGGGAATTCCAGAACACTTAATTGTGCTCACGTGGAACCTGTACATAGACCAAGAGGCAGTCGTTCGAACAGAACAAAGGGTACTGTGTGGTTTAAAGTCAGGAAAGGTGTGCGTCAGGGTTGTATCCTTTCACCACACTTATTCAATCTGCATGTTGAGCAAATAATCCAAGAAGGTGGACTATATGAAGAAGAATGCAGCATCGGGATTGGAGGAAGACTCATTAACAACCTGCATTTTGCAAATGGATACAACCTTGCTTGCTGAAAGTGAAGAGGACTTGAAGCTCTTACTCATGAAGATCAAAGACTACAGCCTTCAGTATGGATTACACCTCAACATAAAGAAAACAAAAACCCTCACAACTGGACCAATAAGCAATGTCATGATAAATGGAGAAAAGATTGAAGTTGTCAAGGATTTCACTTTACTTGGATCCACAATCAATGCCCATGGAAGCAGAAGTCAGGAAATCAAATGACATATTGCACTGGGCAAATCTGCTGCAAAAGACCTCTTTAAAGTGTTAAAAAGCCAAGATGTCACTTTGAAGACTAAGGTGCACCTGACCCAAGCCATGGTATTTTCAGTCTCCTCATATGCATGTGAAAGCTGGACAATGAATAAGGAAGACGGAAGAAGAATTGATGTCTTTGAATTATGGTGTTGGTGAAGAATGTTGAATATACCATGGACTGCCAGAAAAATGAATTTGTCTTGGAACAAATTCAGCCAGAATGCTCCTTAGAAGGAAGGATGGTGAGACTTTGTCTCACTTACTTTGGACATGTTATCAGGAGGGACCAGTCCCTGGGAAAGGACATCATGCTTGGTAAAGTAGAGAGGGTCAGCGAAAAAGAGGAAGACCCTCAACGAAATGAACTGACACAGTGGCTGCTACAGTGGGCTCAAACATAGCAATGATTGTGAGGATGGTGCAGGGCCGGGCAGTGTTTTGTTCTGTTGTACACCGGGTGGCTGTGAGTCGGAACCGACTTGATGGCATCTAACAATAGGAGGCATCCTACACATGTCACACGTACGTCGTGCACATGATTGTAAAGAAATATGGATAAGGATGCTCGCTGTGGCTCTGCTGATGACAGTCAAAGAGGGCAACAACCTGAGGGGATCTGTTATGGATTGACTTGTGTCCCCCCAAGTCGTGGGTTAGAGTCCTAACCCCTGTACCTGTGTATGTAGTCCCATTTGGAACTAGGGTTTTCTCTGTTATGTTAATGAAGCCTTATCCGTGTAGGGTGTGTTTTAAGCCAATCACTTCTGAGTTAGAAGAGCAGATTAGGCACAAGGAAGCACAAAGGGGAAGACAGACAGACACCACATGAGGATCACCAAGGAACCAAGGAACACGGGGACTACAAGAGGCTGAAAGAGACAACGATCTTCCCCTAGAGCCGACAGAGAGAGAGCCTTCCCCTAGAGCCAGTGCCTTGAGTTTGGACTGTGGAGTCCTGGTGGCACGGTGGTTAAGAGCTCCACTGCTAACCAAAAGGTCAGCAGTTCGAAGCCACCAACAGCTCCTTGGAAACCCTGTGGAGCAGTTCTACTCTGTCCTATAGGGTCCCTATGAGTCAGAATCGACTCTATGGTAATGGGTAAACCTAAATGTGAGAAAACAAATTTTTGTTCTTTAAAGCTGCCCACTTGTGGTATTTCTGTTACAGCAGCACCAGGAAACAAAGACAGGACTGATTGAATAAATTTTTGCTACATTCACACTCCCTCCTCACCTCCTCAGTGAGGCCTTCCCTGACCACCCTGTCTAAAATAGAATGCCCTCCCCACTCTCCAGCCCTTTATCTTCTTAGCTCTTATCAATAAGGTCCCTGGGTGGTACAGTTTGTGCTCGCCTACTAACCTAAAAAGGAGCCCTGGTGGTGTAATAGTTAAACGCTTGGCTGCTAACCAAGAGGTGGGCAGTTTGAACCCTCCCAGTGGCTCTGCAGAAGGACCTAGTGATCTGCTCCTGTAAAGATTACAGCCTAGGAAACCCTCTGGGGCAGTTCTAGTCTGTAACACACGGGGTCACCATGAGTAGAAATTGATGGCGCTCTACAACAACTAACCTAAAAAGGCTGCTAACGAAAAGGTCGGCAGTTTGAACCCACCCGGTTGTACTGCGGAAGAAAGGCTTGGTTGTCTGCTTCAGTAAAGATAAAGCCAGCCAAGAAAACCCTATGGAACACAGTTCTACTCTGTGACACATGGGTTCGCCATGAGTGGAAATCGACTCAATGGCAATGGGCTTGGGTTTTTGGTTTTCCTTGTGTCCCTGGTTCTCTGACTTCAGCAGGCATCAGGAGAGCTTGTTAAAACACAGATGGCTGGGCCCCACACCCAGACTGTCTGCTTCCCAGGTCTAGGCGAGGGTCCAGTCATTTCTAACAAGTTCCTAGGTGATGCTGGTGCTGCTGGTCCAGGGATCCCACTTTGAGAACCACTGTTCTAGTTCTGTGCTTTCCAACATGGCGGCCACTGGCTACATGCAGGTATAGAGCCCTTGAAGTGTGGCCAGCCCAAACTGAGGTGTGCTATAGGTGTTAAAATACACACCCGATTCCAGACTAAGTGTGAAAAAAAAGATGTAAAATATTTCATCCAATTTTTTTTACATTGATTCCACAATGAAATGATAATATTCAGAGCAGCTGCAGACCAACGAGAAGCGAGCAGTATAGTGGGTGAAAGAAAACATCTTAAAATTAATTTCACCTGTTCCTTTTTTGCTCCTGGACTGTGTTAAAACCAGTTGCCATGGAGTCGATTCTGACTCGTAACCGCATGTATGTCAAAGTAGAACTGGGTTTTCAATGGCTGATTTTCGGTCAAACTGCCAACCTTTAGATTGGTAAAACCAAACCACCAAACCCGTTGCCGTCGAGTCGATTCCAAGTCATAGTGACCCTATAGGACACCAAGGCTGTCATCTTTATGGAAGCAGACTGCCACATCTTTCTTCTGCAGAGCAGCTTCAAACCGATGACTTTTCAGTTAGCAGCCAAGCGCTTAACCACTGTGCCACCAGGCCCCTTTTAAGATTAGTAGGGTTGCTATGAGTCAGAATCGACTCGATGGCAACGGGTTAGTCGGGAGCAAATCATTTGCACCACCGAGAGACCTTCAATAGCCAAAAAAAAAAAAAATCACCAAACCCATTGCCGTTGAGTCGATTCTGACTCATAGTGACCCTATAGAACAGACTAGAACTGCCCTATAGGGTTTCCAAGGAGCAGCTGGTGGATTCAAACCGCCGTCCTTTTGGTTAGCAGCCATAGCTTTTAACCACTGTGCCACCAGGGCTCCTGACCTTCAGTAGAACCAGTCAATAAAACATGGTCCAGGCCACACAGCCCAGGGCATGATGGGACCTCTGGGGAAGATGGGGTGGCCCCAGTCCTCCCCCATCCCCGGGACGGCAGGGGGGCGGTTCTGCCAGGAGGCCCCACGCCTGGGACCACTCACTGCTCACTGGTCTGCATCAGCTCTATAAGGTCGGAAAAGAGAACGTCCCGGTTCCTCTCGCAGAAGCCGCTGACGTCGTAGGAGACCTGGGGCGACAGGGCATTGGGGAAGTAAGGGGCTGAGGGCTGGGGTCCCATGGGTTTTGTTGGTCAGAGGATCAGAGGGTATCTATAGTTCTGGCTGCGGGGGTGGTCTATGGAGGGCTGTAATTCAGAATGTGGGGGAGAGGGCTGCAGCCTGGCGAGTCCCTGGAGGCTAATGCCCAAATTGAGGCTAGAGGGTGGGGGGCTACAGCCTGGGTTAGAGGTGAGGAGTTACAGCTCAGATTGGGGGACAGGGGCTGGAGCCTGCATCAGAGGATCAGTCGTAGTTACACCCCAGAGTGGTGGGTGAGAGCTGCAGCCTGGGCAAGGGGTCCTTGGGGGTCTACTACTCAACTTGGAGTCAGAAGGTCACGCTGGGTGTCTGTGTCCTGGTTAGCTGGGGGTTGGGGGCCGTGTCAGGGCGGTTACGGGATTGGGCAGGGGTCCATGGGGGCTTCAGCTTGGGCTGTGGGCTGGGTCTGCTATCCAAGTGGGGGGCTCTCTGTGGTCCTGGCTAGGGCTTTTGCAGCCTGGCTGAGGGAACATGGGTGCTCCAGTGCACTTTAGGGACTGGGGGGCTGCTGCAGTGGCAGGGGGCCCTGGGGGTGCCTGATGCCCATGTTGAGATGTCCAAGGTCTGAGGCCAGTGGATTTCTTTAGCCTTGGGTAGGGCCTGTGTGTGTGTGTGTGGCAGGGGGGTGTCTAGCCCATTTTGGAGAGTGTCCCCAGGGCCTGGGCTCTCTGGGGATTTGCTCTCCAAGGTGGGGTCAGAAGGTGGGGGCTGGGTCCTGGGTCAGCGGGTGAGTGGGGTTACAGCTCAAATTGGGGCTCAGGGTCTGCAGTACAGGCATCGCCCTGGTGGTCTGTTGCCCACCTTGCGGTCAACGTGGGGTTCTGTGCAGTTAGGGGAGGCTGTCCTGTTAGAGGGGGAGCTGTGGCCTTGATCAGGGGCCAACGGGGTTCAGTAGTCCTGGCTGAGGGAACGTGGGGGCTCCCTGGCAGTTTAGCGATTGGAGAATGCCTGGGGCTCTGCCGGCTGAGGGTCAGTGGTGGGAGGTTTGTGGTTCTGCTCAGTTGGAGGATGGCGATGGCCAGGACCCCGGGGTCGGTGGAGTTCCGCAGCTCTGGTTGAGGGATGGCGCGGGACCCGTCCAGTTTGGGGGTTGGGAGGTGGCAGCTTGGGCCAGGGTCCCCTGTGGGCTGTGAGGAGGCGCCAGTGGGGGCCACCCGGTGGTGCGGGGCGCGGGCACCTTGCCAGCGTAGTGGTGGATGACGAAGCCGGCGCTCCAGCTGTTGAAGTGCTCGTGGGTGCCCACGGCCGCCTGCAGCTTCTGCAGCAGCGTCTGGTCGGCGCCGCCGCCCGTGGCGTGCATTGTGGCGCACACGTCGTCCAGCACGCTCATGATGCCCGGCGGGCTCTACGGGGGCGAGGCGGGAGAGGGGCGTGACCACGGCGAGGGGCGAGGACGAAAGAGGGGACGGGGCGGGATGGGGAAAGGGGGCGGGGACGAGAGGGAGTAGGGCAGAGGAGAGGGGTGGGGCGGGGAAAGGGAGGAGGGGCGGGTCCGGGGGAAAGAGGGGCGGCCGGGCATAGGCGGGCGAGGATGAGAGAGGGGGCGAGGACGAGAGAGGGGTCTGGGCCGGCGAGAGAGGAATGGGGCGTGGAGAGGGGCAGGGTGGGGCGTGGGGGGAGAGGGATGGGTGGGGAGAAGGGTGGGAGGGAGAAGGGGTGTGGCAGAGGGAGAGGGAACGGGGTCAGCCGGGCCCTGCCCGGTCCGCCATCCAACTTCCTGGCAGGGAGACCTCGCAGGGGTGTGGCTGGAGGAGGGGTGAGGGCTAGAGCTGGGTGGACTTAGATCCTCAAGTTCTGGGGCTTCCGAATATAAAGGCAAAGGGTGATGGTAGGGGCCAGGGAGCGGGGGATGGGCTGCTATGGAAGCTCGCTAGGGTATAGGACGGTGTCGGGGGGACACCCCTTAAGGGGTCCATGCCTCTTCCCTTTCTCGGTCTGGGAGGCCTGCCAGCGCTGACCCCTCTGGCCCTGATTGCTGCACGAGGAATGTTTGCTGAGTGACTGAGTGGTGAGCAGGTTGGAAGAGTGAAAGGCTGAGAGTGGGTGGGGGGATATTTCTGTCTGCCCAAGAGGGGAGCGATAGGTAGAAAAGGGCCCGTGGGAGCTGTAACCCCCTCCTCGCTGGCCTAGAGCACACGGCCCTGCCTGCCCTGCCCAGGTCTCCTAGGCCCAGCTCCAGGACCCTGTGAGAACCCCAGAATTGGCCTGGCCCTCACCACCTTGTTTTCGATGAGGTCGCAGACGACCTTGTTGTTGAAGTACTGGATGGGGGTCCAGCGGATGCCCTCCTGTACATACTCCTCCTGGGGGGCAGGAGAGGGGATAGAAGAGGGGGTCGGTGTCCTGACAAAGGTGTGTTTCTAGAATCCAAACTCTACAACGGTGGGTGCACCACCCAAACCCCCCTCATCTGTCTCTGGCAACAAAGCCGATTTGCCCTGTCCTGGGGGAGGCCAGAAGTGTTAGGGAAGCACACACTCCACCGCTAGAAGCCCTCACCCAATGGCAGGCAAGGGTGGATGGATCAATACCCCAGCTCCCTCGCTCCTCTGCTGGGACAACTCTGAGACATGCTCTATGCAGTCTCCCAGGGGTCCCTACAGAATTGAGCCTCAGTTGCCCACAGTACAACACAGCCTGTTTGGGCTCCTTCTCACAGCCTGTTTGGGCTCCTTCTTGTCCCTGTCTCACTTCTTTCTCCCCTCCTGGTGCTTCCTGGGATCACCACCCCGTTAAACCACTTGGCCCTGAATCCTTGCCTCAGGCTCTGCTTCCGGGGGAGCCCAAAATTAAAACAGCAGGGAATTTTGTCCATCTCGTTTACAGCTGTGTCCCCAGCACCTACACCAGTGCCTGGCACAGAACACTCACTAAATAAAAAAACCAAACCCATTGCTGTCGACCCTGACTCATGACAACCGCATGTGTTACAGGGTAGAACTGCTCCATAGGGTTTTCAAGGATGTGACCTTTCAGAAGTAGATTGCCAGGTCTTTCTTCCCAGGCACTGGCTGGTTTCGAATGGCTGGTTAGTAGCCGAGCGCTTAACCATTTGTGCTACCCAGGGACTCCCACCCAGGGGTCCTGCTCACTAAAAATGTTAGGTGCCGTTGAGTTGATTACCACTCCTAGCGACTCTATAACAGAGTAGAACTGCCCCATAGGGTTTCCAAGGCTGTAATGTTTACAGGAGCAGATCACCAGGTCTTTTCTCCCAGGGAGCCACTGGTGGGTTGGATCCGCTGGCCTTTCGATTAGCAGCCTAGCGCTTAACCATTGCACCACCAGGGCGCCTTCACTAAATAATACTTAGCGTATAATTGTTGATTGAATGAGCAAAGAGGGCGTTTCCCAGCGCTTGTCAGCCCTTTAGAGGCAGAAAGCCTCTTCTGAAGACACTGTTATGATGGAGCCTGGACAGGTAAGACAGTGAGGGGTGGGAATGGGGGGCTGGGTGCCCTCAAGCTCTGTAGCTAACCTCGGGGCCCCGCCCCGCCCCGCCCGCGGCGGCCCCGCCCACCTGCTCAGCCTTCAGGGTGAGCTCGATGAAAATCTGCTGCAGCTTCTCGTTGACGAAGTTGATGCAGAACTGCTCGAAGCCGTTTTTCTGCCGAGGTAAGGAGGATGCTTCCCTCAGTGAACTGATGCTGGAGGCCCCGTGGCCAATGGGCCACCCCGGGGTTGGGGGAGCACAGGGAGGACGAGTAGGTGGGGGCAGGGGCCATACCTGGAAGATCTCGAAGCCGTAGATGTCAAGCACGCCGATGCTGTACTCCTCCTGTGGCTTCTGCATGGCGCGGTTGATGGCCTGCGACACGGGGTGGACAGTGGGCGCCCGGTCAGGCCCACACCTAGCCTGCCCCTCTCTCCATAGGCCCTCAGCCCACCTCAAGGGCTATGTCCCCTCACACCGGTGTCTCTCCTGCCTTTCCCAGCTCTGTGCGAGTTGTTGTTGAGTGCCGTTGAGTCCATTCCAACTCATTGTAGAGCTGCCCCATAGGGTTTTCAATGGCTATAATCTGACAGAAGTAGATTGCCAGGCCTTTCTTCCGTGGTGCCACTGGGTGGATTTAAACCATCCACCTTTCAGTTAGTAGCCAAGTACCAACCATTTGTGCTACCCAGGGACCTATGTATATACATACATATTATGTATATGCACATATATGGATGTTGTTAGGTGCCTTCCAGTCCATATCGACCCATGGCCACCCTATGTGACAGAGTAGAACTTCCCCATATGGTTTTCTTGGCTGTAATCTTTATGGGAGCAGATTGCTAGGTCTTTTTTCCTGTGGAGCCACTGGGTGAGTTTGAACTACTGACCTTCCTGTTAGCAGCCAAGCAGTTAACAGTTGCACAATCAGGGCATTTTGCTTTGTGCATACACCCCCTGTTATGGGTTGCATTGTGTCCCCCAAAAAGATATGCTGGAGTTCTAACCTTGTACCTGTGAATGTGACCTTGTTTGGAAACAAGGTCTTTGCAGACGTTATCAGTTACATTAACATGAGGTCATACTGGAGTAGGGTGGGTCCTAATTCAATGTGAATGGTATCCTTATAAAAGAGGAGAAGAGACACAGAGACAGGGAGACACAGGGAAGATGGACATGAGAAGACAGATGGAGGCAGAGAAGGAGTGACGCGCTGCAGCTGCAAGCCCAGGATTGCCTGGGGCCTCCAGAAGTTGGAAGAGACCAGGAAGGATCCTCCCCTAGAGCCTTTGGAGAAAGCATAGCCCTGCCGACACCCTGAATTCAGACTTCCAGCTCCAGAACTGTGAGACAATACATTTCCGTTGTTGTAAGCCACCTAGTTTGCAGTACTTTGTTACAGCAGCCGTAGGAAACTCGTACACCCCCCTCCCCCATCAGTCATCCACACCAGAAACCCGGGTGTCAGAATATCTGGAAACTGGCTCTGCCACTTGCTGGCTGTGTGACCTCAAGCAAGCCACTTAACCTCTCTGTGCCTCCAGTTTCTCATCTTTAAAATGGGTTAATACTAGCAACTATCGCAGGGTTTTTTTGAGGGTTAAATAGAGGCACACAAAACATTTAGAATAATGCCTGGCACACACTAAGTGCCATAGAAATGTTTGCTACAGTTACTATTGTTTTTGGCCTAGACGTCTCCTGTTCCCATCCACCCCAATCCAGTCCACCACCTTGGCCCCTTGACAGCCCTCCTTAGTCCTCTCAAATGCACCTAGCCTGTCCGTCCCCACAGCCCCCAGATGGTCCAGTAGCCCCCTCCCCTTCCTGGGCTCCACGTCTCAGCCAGAGGGAGCCTCTGATACTTCTGTCTGGTTACCTCCCACTCCTGCTCAAAGCCCCCATGGCCAGGAATTATCGAGACTATGATAATGAAGCCTGCCTCCCCACGTGGCTGTGTTTCGGTCCCAGCCCATCCTGGCATGCACTAGGCACACTCCGTAAATACTGGTGTTGTGGATAGAATTGTGTCCCCTAAAAAGCTGTGTTGACAACTGGACTAAACCAAAGCTAAGAAGTTTCCTGAATACAATCAAAGACTTAGAGGGACAGAGTAGCAGGGGCAGGAGTCTGGGGACCATGCTTTCAGGGGACATCTAGGTCATCTGGCATAACAAAGTTTATTAAGAAAATCTTCTGCATCCTTCTTTGGTCAGTGGTGTCTGGGGTCTTAAAAGCTGGCAAGCAGCCATCTAAGATGCATCAGTTGGTCCCAACCTACCTGGAGTAAAGGAGAATGAAGAACACCAAAGTCACAAGCAAAGTATTAGCCCAAGAGACAGAAAGGGCCACATAAACCAGAGACTTCATCAGCCTGAGACCAGAAGAACTAGAGGGTGCCTGGCTACCACCACCGACTGCCCTGACAGGGAACACAACAGAGAGTCCCTAATGGAGCAGGAGGAAAGTGGGGAGCAGAACTCAAATTCTAGTAAAAAGACCAGACTTAATGGTCTGAGACTGGAGGAACCCCAGAAAGCGTGGCTCCCAGACTCTCTGTCAACCCAGAACTAAAACAATTCCTGAGGCCAACTCTTCAGATAAAGATTGGACTGGACTGTGGGACATAAAATACTTGTGAAGAGTGTGTTTCTTAGCTCAAGCAGATACATGAGACTAAATGGGCAGCTCCTGTCCAGAGGTGAGATAAGGCAGAGACGGTCAGGAGCTGGTTGAATGGACATGGGAAATCAGGGGTGGAAAGGAGTGTGCCGTCACAGTACAGGGAGAGCAATTGGGGTCACATAACTGGGTATGTATAAATTTTTGTATGAGAGACTGACTTGAATTGTAAACTTTCACTTAAACTACAACAATAAAAAAAAAAGTTGTGTTTAAGTCCTAATCTCTGTACCTGTAAATGTGACCCAGTATGGAAATAGGGGTTTTCTTTTGTTATGTTTTAATGAGGTCATACCAGAGTAGGGAGGGTCCTAAACCTAATCCTGCCTGAGAGGTGTCTTAGAAAAAGAACAGAATAGACACACACACAGCAGAGGAAGAGATCGTGTGAGGATGCAAGGCAAGGAACTCCAGGGAACCCCAAGGAGCCAAGGAACGCCTGGGGCTACCAACAAGGAGCGACCTTTCCCTGGAGCCGATACCCCAATGTGGGCTCCTAGCGTCCAGGGCTGTGAGACAAATTCTGTCTTTTAAAGCCACGCTGTCTGTGGTATGTTTTTAGTTCAGGCCGCACGAGGAACTAAGTCTGTCTGGAAGCCCCGCCCCGCCCACAACCCCCCCACAGCCGCTAAGCCCCGCCCACGCCCCGCCACAGCCCCGCCCACTCGCCTCCACCAGAAAGTCGAAGAGGCGCGCGTACAGCCCCTTGGCCAGGGCGTCCCGGGTGTAGGCGGCCTGCTCCACGTTGAGCGTCACGTCGATGGACTCGCTGCGCCCTCCCCAGCGGCTGTCCATTTTGCGGCTGGTCAGCTTCTCCTGCAGCCGCCCGCTGTCGATGCCCAGCAAGTAGGCGGGAAAGGCGAGAACTGCCGGCAGGGCGTGCGGCGGGTTAGTCGCTGGGGCTTTGTGTGGGGGCCGCCCTCTCCCCCCGCACCCCCATCTTGTCCAGTGACTCAGACATTGCCTTTGTGGGTTCTTGCCCGCCTGATGTCAGGCTAGGAGAGACCAGTTCTCACACACACACATACACATACATACACACACTCATACACATACACACATTCACACACATGTAAACATACAGATACAGACTCACGCACATGCACACACACACATCCACACAATGCACACAGAGACACACATGCATCCTCACAAATGTGCCCTCTATCCTGACACATGCAGCCACCAGCCTTTCCATGCACAAGCCCCCCAAACCCTCCCCACAACCCCACTTCTCATAGACGGACCCCAATGCTCACATACGTCCCCTAGTTCTCACACGTTCACCCCAGTCCTCACCCACTGCCTCCTAGTACCTGTCCCTGCACCTCCTTCCTTCCAGCTGCCCTCCCGGCTCCCGCACTCACGGTCCACACTCTCCACGCGGGCATAGTTCCCATCTTCGCAAAAGCTGATGTTCCCCAGGTGCAGGATCCCGGCCACGAGCTGCAGGACCATCTGCTGGATGCTGGGCAGGATCCCAATGACCTGCATGGCGCTCTGTGGGCACAATGAGGCAGAGCCTGGGCCTCGAGTCCTGACCTCCCCTGGTCCCTGATCAGGCTTCCAGGCCCCAGCATAGACACCTGGGCCCCTGTCCTGCCTGTTTCACCCAAGTGCTGTGTGACCTTGGGCCAGCCCCTGCCCCTCTCTGGGCCTTGGTTTCCCGATTTGTAACATGAGCGGACTCCTTGGGCTGGGGGCTGGAGTGGTGGGCAGTTCTCACCAGCGTCTCATTGAAGTCACTCCTGTCATCAGTGCCGTCCACCTTGTAAGTGTCTGACTGGTTGAGGTAGTAATAGTAGTCGGGAGTCATGAGCCCCAGGTTCTGCCGCTGCTCCTGGGAGGCCCCTTCCAGCAGCTGGAGGGTTGTGATGGTCACGCACCTCCCAAACGGTAACCCTCCCGTTGTCTCCCCTCTGCCACCCCCAGGCTCTAGATGGGGCTCCTTCTACCCTGGCCCCATGCCTCCCTTCCCTGCACCTGGTAGTAGATGTGGAAGTTCCTCTCATTTTCATTCTGTGAGACCACGCGGGACTTCTCCAGCAAGAAGTTGGAGATCTTGCCCCCATCAGGCTCTCCGCCACGGCTGAACTGAATCTCAAAGTACTTGCCCTGAGCCCGAGAGAGCCACGTCAGCCCTTGAGGGTCCCTGGGGCTGCAGGTGGGGAAGGAGTGGGAGCGTGGACTGGGTCTTATGAGCCTGGCCTCTCTTCACCTCTCCCCCACGTGACCTCAACTCGCTTCTAAATCTTCATCTACCACTGATTCACCAGGGGACAGTGGTGGTTCAGTGGTAGAATTCTTGCCTTCCATGCGGGGAAACCTGGGTTCAATTCCTCGCCAATGCACCTTGTGCGCAGCCACCACCCATCTGTCTGGAGGCTTTTGTGTTGCTATGATACTGAAGAGGTTTCAGCAGAGCTGCCACACTAAGACAGACTAGGAAGAAAGGCCTCGTGATTGAAATTGGGCCTGAAATGTGCAACTAGGAACAGACCTGGCATAGGTGTATTTAAAGGTGTTACACAGAAGTGTCTTGGCCTCCACATTTCTGCAAGCAGGGGACCCTTTTTCAGACGGAACAAAGGCAGGAAGTGAGTCTCCCAGCCAGAAGCAGGTGTTTCCTGCTGGATTTCCAATGGGGCTCTTGTTTTGGGAATGTAGGGGCGTTTGTGTATGTGTTAGGGAGGGGAGTGAAGGTCAGTGTGGAGGGAATGGATGCTCCAGGAGACTCACAAAGCGACTGGAGTTGTTGTTGCGCACGGTCTTGGCGTTGCCGAAAGCCTCAAGCAGTGGGTTGGACTGCAGGATGATATCCTTGACGTGCTGGGGGTAGGAACAGGAGGGGGTGGGCAGAGGTCAGGCTGAGGCAAGTGGCCAGGAGGTGAACTGCCCTGAAGAGGGGAGACCCAGCCTGCCCTTCTGTCCTTTCTGACTCACCTGGACTTTCTCGCCCCCGCCGGACACCTTGGAGATGTAGCCCATGATGTATTTGGCTGCCACCGTCTTCCCAGCTCCACTCTCTCCGCTGAGGGTGGGTGGGGGGAAGGAGTGATCAGAGTGGGAGGAGGGACAGGGGCACATTCCTGTCCTGTTATTCATTCATTCATTCAGCACTTACTGTGTGTCAGGCACTATCCCAGGTACTGGGGATACAATCATGAATAAGATAGATAAAAAACCCTGCCCTCAGGGAGATGACATTTAGGACAGATGGACAATAAAAACCAATTGCCATCAAGTCGATTCCAACTACGGCGACCCCACGTGTATCAGAGTAGAACTGGGCTCCATAGGGTTTTCAGTAGCTGATTTTTCAGAAGTAGATCACCAGGCCTTTCTTCCAAGTTCTCTGGGTAGACTTGAACTGCCAACCTTTTGATTAGCAGCCAAGTGCTTAACTGTTTGCAGCAACCAGGGACTCCCACTAGAGAGACAGAGTAAGTGAGATATATCATGGGTCAGATGGTCTGGTGAAATGAGTTCCTTTATGTGACCCTTTGCCTTGGTTCTTTGGAAAAATAGCTTGAGAGATTTTCCCCCTAAGCCCTGAGGAGTTAGCTTTGCCCTAGTTTTTTACCCCAGAGGGTCTGTTACTTTTGCCAGGTTGGTTGACACTGACATTTCCTTGGTCAGTTCTGGCTCTGGTGGGAGTGCCCGTGCCTTGAAATTGACAAGGAATTTGTCTATTTAAGCAGCCAGCCCCACAGAGGTTTGACAGGCAGAAAGAAGTGGAAAGAAACAGAGAGAAGCAACCTTTTAAAAGAGCTGTAACACTGGTCAAGGTCGGTAACACTGAAGACAGTGGGGGGCCCAGAAGGGACACAGTGGCAGAGCCGGCCCGGAAGGGGCCTAGCAGCAGAGCCGGCAGTGATAGACAGCAGGGCCAAAAGGAGCCTGTCCTCAGGGGGCAGGGCAGAGCTGAGAGGGCTGTCCTGCACTAAAGAAGGGAGACTCTGCCTACATGCTCCCTGATCCTGATTCCTGAGTTGTAGCATGTTGATCCTGATCCTGAGTTGTACCCTGTTACTTCCTTAATAAACCACTTAACTGTAAGTATGGCCTGTGAGTTCTGTGTGGCCATTGCAACGGATTATCAAACCCAGAAGAGAAGTAGAGAGTGCCACAGGAGGGATGGCTGGTGTCAGAATTAGTCAAAAGCTTGGAGAGTGGAGGCATGTCTGACCTCCACCTCCTGGGAGTCAGCTTAGTGCTGATGGTGATCCTCATTATCCTCCATGAAGTTAGACGGGTTCTGATGCTATTACTACTAGTCCCATCTGACAGATCGTGACAAGGAAAGAAAAACAAGGACAGGGCAGGGAGGGACGCCAAGGCTCTGTTCAAATCAGGAACTAGGGAAGGAAACGAGATGGGAAAGAGGGAGCCTGGGAAGGTTCTGGCTAGGAGCAGGGGGAAAGCTTTCTGAGAATGGAGAAAACTGAGGCAGGGCATGTGGAGTTCCAGGCAGACTTTCCTGCGGAGGTGATGATGTTTGAGCAGGGCCTGGGCACCAGGGTCCCCGGTACCTGATGATGACACACTGGTTCTCGCAGTCGATCAGCATGTTCCGATACATGTTGTCCGTGAGCGCATAGATGTGCGGTGGATTCTCGTACTGGGCCTAGTGGAGGAGATCAGGGCTCAGCCCCTGGGCTGGGGGCGGGGTTTCCGGCACTGTGCCCCGCCCCCGGCCCAGGCCTCACCGCTCCCTGGTAGAGGTCGATCTCCCTGTCAGTGAAGTAGGGCATCTGCTTGAAGGGATTCACGGAGATGAGCACGGAGCCGATGTAGGTCTGGGGGCGCAGTTAAGGACCAGGGGTGTCCAGGCAGAATTTGTCCCCCAGTGTCCTGGTCCCCTCGTCCTGCTTCTCCTGAGCCCCTCAGAGCCCCTTCACTCACAGAAAGAAATGAACATACTCAGGTGTGTCCTGGGGTCTCTTAGGAAGAAAGCTGGGTTGGGGCTGGGGCTGGAGCAAGGGAAATGGGGATATGCTGGATCTGAGCTACCTCAGGGCAGAGGAAGCAGCGGGGGCCATAGCCGCCCCCAACCAGAGCCCTTCTGTCACTCCACTGTCCCCTGTTCTATTGTCTGGCAGTCTCACTGCCCGTCCTTTCCACCCCTCGTTACATCATCAATCTCTCTGTCCATGGCTCTGGCATCCTGTGCCCTTCTCCCTCCCCTGCCAGCCTTCCTCCACCCGTCCACACATCATCCCTCCATCCATCTACACATCATCCCTCATCCATCCACATGTCATCCCTCTATCCACCCGTGTGTCATCCCTTCATCCATCCACACATCATCTCTCTATATGTCATCACCCCATCCATCCACACGTCATCCCTCATCCATCCATGTGTCATCCCTTCATCCATCCACACGTTATCCCGCTATCCATCCATGTGTCATCCCTCTATCCATCTGTATGTCATACCCCATCCATCCCCACGCCATCCCTCTATCCATCCACTCTTCGTCCCTCTATCCATTCATAGATCATTCCTCCATCCATCCACACATCCATCCCTCTTCCATCCACACTTCATCCTTCCATCCATCCACAGGTCATCCCTTCATCCACTGATCAATCATCCTCCCACCCCTCTGTCCTTCAACTCCCCGTCCCTCCACCCCGCACGTGCCCGCAGCCAAGGGTGCAAAGATGTAGTCGTCCATGAAGCGCTTGCGCAGGTTGCCCACGATGGCGTCCTCGGTGATCTGGGGCAGCAGCACCATGTCGTCCACGCCACTCTGCTTCACGTTGTGGCTCTGCCAATGGAATCGCTCCTTGCTGCCCTGTGGGTGGGGGTCCGGGGGTGGGGGTGAGCCCCTGCAGGGGGAAGGGCAGGCTGGGGTCTCAGAAGCTATCACCCGACTTGCCTCCACCACCTGCGTCTGATTCTGCCCCCTACTCGTCCACACTACCACCCAACACAGCCACCTTCCCCATCTCGGGGACACGAGGCGGTCAGGGTTGGATTGAGTGACCCCAAAAGATACGTTCAAGTGTTAACCTCCAGTCCCTGTGAGTGTGATCTTATTTGGAACTTTTTTTTCTCCGTTGCTGTAGAGTTGATTCAGACTCATGGGGACCTCATGTGTGTCCAAGTAGAACTGTACTCCATAGGGTTTTCAATGGTGATTCAGCGGTTAAGCACTCGAGTGTTAATCGAAAGGTCGGTGGTTTGAACCCACCAGCCGCTCCTCAGGAGAAAGATATGGCAGTCGGCTTCCGTAAAGATTTACAGCCTTGGAAACCCTATGGGGCAGTTCTACTCTGTCCTACAGGGTCGCTATGAGTCGGAATTGACTTGATGGCAACGGATTTGGTTTTTTGGTTTGGGTAATGTTTTGGAAGCAGATCATCAGATATTTCTTCCAAGGTGCTTCTGGGTGGATTCTAACCGCTCACCTTTTGGTTAGCACTCGAGGGGGGTGCTTAACTGTTTGTGTCACCCAGGGACTCCTATTTGGAAAGAGGGTCTTTGAAGATGTAACGCGTTATGTTCACATGGGGTCATACTGGAGTAGAAAAGACCAAAACCAAATCACTTGCCATTGAGTCAAATCTGACTCATGGTGACCTCGTGTGTGTCAGAGTAGAACTGTGCTCCACAGGGTTTTCAGTGGCTGGTTTTTCAGAAGTGATTGCCAGGCCTTTCTTCCAAGGCACCTCTGGGTGAACTCGAACCAACCTTTCACTTAGCAGCTGAGCACGTTCACTGTTTGCACCCCCTAGGGACTCCCCACCAAGGCACCAGGAGAGGTGGGCGAGGTGGAGTCCTGGCTTCCTGCCCTCATGGAGGAGGCCAGACTAGGAGATCCTCACTCCGAGCCATCCCTTCGTCTCCTCTTTGGTCCCTCTGTCGCCTCACTCCTCCACTCAGTAACCTCTGCCACGGAAGGGACAGTGAAACCAGGCCCCACGGGGCTGAGTTGGGTGGGTTTTGGGTGGGCTAAGGGAGAGGAGAGGAGCCTTGGTTGCACAGTGGTTAAGTGCTCAGCTGCTAACCGAAAGGTCGGCAGTTCAAACCCACCAGCCACTCTGCAGGAGAAAGATGTGGCAGTCTGCTTCCGTAAATATCACAGCCTTGGAAACCCTGTGGGGCAATTCTTCTCTGTCACATGGGGTTGCTATGAGTACGAACTGACTTGATGGCAATGGGGTTTTTATTTTTTCGGGGAGGGAAGACAGGGGGCAGGGAGAGCTGTATAGAGGAGCCGGCCTTCCCTTGTTCTCACTTCCCTCCAGACTCTGCCTCTCACTTCCTCAGTTCCCCTCTCTGTGACCTGACCATGACATTGATCCATTGCCCACCCCTTCCACCTCCAGGCAGCTGCCTTCCTCCGGCTCCCCTTCCCCTCTCTCAAGGTCACGCACACTGTCTCGTCCCTCTGAGTCCTCCTGGCCACCACGTGGCTGTGACTCTGCTCCTCAGCTAGACCTTGTCTCCCAGCCCAGTCTCCCCGCCTACACCCTGCTCCTCACCAGCTCCAGCACCCTCCCAGGCTCCCTCTTTCCCGTCTCCTTTCCTAGTATTTATTTCATTGTTGCTGTTGTTGTGAGTTGCTGTCTAGTCTACTCTGACTTGTGGCGACCCCATTTATGCAGAGTACAACTGTGCTCCATAGGGTTTTCAAGGCTGTGTCCTCTCAGAAGCAGATCACCAGGCCTTTCTTCTGAGGCACCTGAGTGGGTTCAAACTGCCAACCTTTCAGCTAGCAGTTGAGCACTTAACCATTTTCACCACCCAGGGACTCCTTTTATTGTAGGAAATACATATATAACAAAACATTTGCCTACTCATCATTTTTTACGTGTATAATTCAGTCACATTGATTACATTCATCATGTTATGCAACGATCACCATTATCCATTTCCAGATTATTCCACCACCACTAACAGAAACTCAGTGTCCCCCTAAGAAGCGACTCCTCTTTTCCCCTTCCTGCCACCACTGGGTCCCTGGGTGATACAGTTCACACACTTGGCTGTGAACCAAAAGGTTGGTGCTTCGAGTCCACCCAGAGTACTTTGGAGGAAAGGCCTAGAGATCTACTTCCAAAAACTCAGCCATTGAAGACCCTATGGAGCACAGTTCTACTCCGACACACATGGGGTTGCCATGAGTCGGAATGACTCAACGGCAACTGGTACCACCCCTGGTAACCACCAATACATTTTGGTCTCTTCTTGCCTAGTTTTTTTTTCCTTAGGCTTCACAGAGGAAACTCTGGCACTGGCCCCCCCCACCCCCTCCTCCAGGAAGCCTGCCCGGATTGTTCTCTCCTTCAGCCCCACCGAACCTGTCCAGTTCCTTAAGCACACTGGCTGTCTTAGACCCACTCTGCCCTCATTCAGTACATCCTGCCAGGGAGGAGTTAGCCAGACAGAGAGAGTCATGGCGACCTGATGAACTTACTCTCGATAAGATGTCCCTCCTCCGAGAAGCCCCCTGAGATGTGTCAGCTTGGCTAGGCCACAGCGCCCAGTTGTTTGGCCAAACTCTAGTCTAGTTGCTGTTAGGAAGTAGTTTCAAAAACCAAGCCAAACCCGTTGCTGTCCAGTCAATTCTGACTCATGGTGACTCCACATATGTCAGAGTAGAACTGTGCTCTGTAGGGGCTTCAGTGGCTGATTTTTTTGAAGCAGATCACCAGGCCTTTCTTCTGAGGAGTTTCTGGGTGGATTCGAACTGCCAACTTTCAGTTAACAGCTGAGCACTTAACCGTTTGCATCACCCAGGGACTTCTATAAAGTAGTTACATGTGATTAAATCAGCTGGCCTCAAGAAAAGCAGATCCCCCTTCATAATGTGAGTGGGCCTCAACCAATCAGTTGAATGCCTTAAGAGCAAAAAGGGAGTTTCCCTGGGAACTGGGAGTGTTCTGCTCCCAGACTGGAAATAGACATTTTGCCAGAACTTTCTCATTCTTCCCAGTTCTGTTGCCTTATCTGTGCTTTTTGGAAAGCAAGCCTGAGCTATAGATTTTGGACATGCCAGCCCCACACAGTCATGTAAGCTAATTCTTTAAAATCTCTCTCTCTCTTCTATATAAATATGTATATAACTCGTTGTTGTCAAGTCATTTCCAACTCATAGTGACCCCCTGTGTTACAGAGGAGAACTGCGCCATAGGGTTTTCTTGGCTGCAATATTTATAGAAGCAGATTGCCAGGTCTTTCTTCTGTGGTGCTGCTTAGTATTTGAGTGTAAACCAACTGCACAAGCCCAAGGACCTTCTCTCTGTCTATAAACATATGTATTTTTAAAACGGGTTCATTCTCTAGAGAACCCTGACTAGACACCTGTCTACTCGCAGACCAGGAGCTCCTGGCGGGCAGGGACTGGGCTCAGTCTTTTCTCAGCCCCAGCAGAAGGGTCTGTCCAGTGAACAAGGGACAAGGGTGAAAAAGGGAACACAACTTCAGAGGAAAACCCCAACAGCAAAGGATGCTGGGAATTGAAGTCATGTCTTCAAAGATGATGGGTATTTGCCAGGATTACTCAAGGGCAGGAAGGAGGGTGCTCTAGGCAGAGGGGAACAGGCAGGGCCCAGGTGGCTGGGGCCAGTCACAGAGAACCTGGGGGACTGGCTGAGGAGCCCATTCTCTTGGAAAGTTCTTCAGCAGGGGTGGTGCACGGTCATATTCTGGATTTAGAAAGAGCACACTAACAGCCAGATGGAAGTTCACTGAGGAATGCCCATGGACCTTAAATGAGCTCAGCCTTTGTCGGGGACAGACCTGAGTTCAAATCCTGCCTGGGCGGCCTGGAGCTATTTCCCTGACACCACTGCAAACCTCAATGGCCTCATCTGTCAAATGGGAGAAGCAGCCTGTCTTAGTTTTCTTGTGCTCCTGTGGCAGAAATACCACAAGTGGGTGGCTTTAATGAATAGAAATTTATTTTGTGGTACTTTGTCCCAGCTGCCCAAGGACTCATACATGTAGGTTCTTATCAGCATCATCTCTGAGCTCCCGAGGGCAGGGGCTCAGGAAAAGGCCTGGTGAAGAAGGTGTGAGGGATCATTTGTTGAATGAATGAGGGAGTGAACAAGTGAATGAAGATGAAGTCAGCCAGGGCCAGGTCCCAAAGAGCTTCGAATGCCAAGCAAAGGAATTTGGACTCGATCGTACAGCCTCCGAGCTTAGACTGCCAGAAGCTGGAATAAGTCAATCTTAGAAGAATTAAGTGAGGATGGCGAGACTTCGACTCACTTACTTGGGACACATCATCAGGAAAGACCATAGGGTTCTCTATCCTGTAATCTTTATACAAGGAGCCCTGGTGGCGCAGTAGTTAAGCTTTTGGCTGCTAACCAGAAGGTCTGGTTAGCATCTCGCAGGAGGAAGATGTGGCAGTCTGTGTCCATAAAGTTGGCAGCCTTGGAAACCCTATGGGCATTCTACTCCGTCCTATAGGGTCGCTAAGAGTCGGAATTGACTCGACGGCAACGGGTTTGTTTTGGAATCTTTATGGGAGCAGATCGCCAAGTCTTTCCTCCAGAGGAGCCGCTGGATGGGTTCACACTGCCAGCCTTTCAGTCAGCAGCTGAGCGCTTAACCATTGCACCACCATGGCTCCTTTCTACAGGTACAGGGTTTAGGAGTCCAACACATGTATATGGGGGACGCAACTCAATCCATAACACCAATGATCATGAAGGTGGCACAGGACCAGGCAGTGTTTCGTTCTGTGGTACATAAGCTGGATGATGAATAAGGAAGATCAGAGAAGAAGTGACATCTTTGAATTGTAGTGTTGGCGAAGAATATTGACTATACCACAGA